AGGAGAGAGAGAGCTCTCACTGGTACAGGACATCCCTAGCACACACAAGGCCCTTGGCCGTAGGCACTTGGGGCCTATCCCTGAGGTGAAGCCATGACTAATGCATGAACACCCCAATGCAATTTGCTCACGAACACCCTGTGTTCGCAGTCAACCTTGCCTCACTCATACTTTCTCTATGCAAGCAAATACCACGTTGCACTAACCTCCGTAGAGGAAATTCGCACCATTCACCACAAGGTCCTTCCTGTGCCTCAGTAATTTCAAGAGGAAGCAGGTGCCCACACTTTTCCATCCACCTACAGAATGCTATGATGGGGCACCATGGAGAAAAGATAAATCACAATCTGTATAAATCAAAAACCCTCTAAAACATGTTTGAGAAGCCTCTGGTGACATGCATACACGTAGAAATTCATGTATCAAATACGACAACTACTGATATTATCTAGTATGTGAATACTTGTAATGCACCCTCATTCTCTTAAAAAATCATTCATGTCAACAACCATCATTACATGATTTCTTTCATCAGACACATTTTACAGATGAGGAAACAGACCCAGAAATGGCACATGACCTGGCCCATGGTATACAAGTGAAGAGCCACAGTGACCTGTAATCCCAGGAGCTCAGGAGGCTGAGACAGTAGTACTGCAAGTTCAAAGCCAGCTTCAGCAAGTTGGCAAGGCCCTCAACAGCTCAACAAGACACAGTCTCTACACAGTCTCCCGTTCCTACAGGGAGCATGCCCCAAACCCTGGTTTCTATTGAAGACAGCCATTTGATAGACCATTCCATCCATAAAAGGTAAAGGGTAGTATTACAAAGGAACAAGAAGGCAGCCCACTCCCATTGGGTAACGCCCACTCCCAGAGGTAGGATCTACCCACTTTCCTCTAGCCCAGCTCCACACCAAAGGCTCTTTCCTTCTCCACTCACTTCTGACCTCTCTGGGGAAGCACAGGCTTTCCAGACCAGGTACTTAGGTGTCCGAGTTGGAAGGTCTGATATTAAGTGTGTATAAGCTGAAAAAAGGTGGGCTGGGATTATATTCAGCGGTAGAGCTTTGCCTAGCACAAGTGAGGTACCACATTTGATCCTCGGTATCATATAAAAAATAAATAATGGGGCTGGGGTTGTGGCTCAGTGGTAGAACGCTTGCCTTGCACTAAGGAGGCACTGGATTCTATCCTTAGCACCACATAAAAATAAACAAAATGAAGCTACTGTGTTCATCTGCAACAAACAAACAAACAATAAATAAATAAATAAATAAATAAATAAATAAATGAATGAATGAATGAATGAATTAATTAATAAGGGCTGAGGATGTAGCTCCGTGCTTTAGTGCCCCTGAGTTCAATGCCTGGTACCAAATAATAATAATAATTTTTAGACTAATATTCAGGGGCTGAGGTTGTAGCTCAGGGATAGAGCACTTGCCTAGCATGTGTGAGGCACTGGGTTCAAGCACTGCATATAAATAAATTTTTAAAAAGGTCTATCAACAACTAATAATATTTAAAAAAAAAAAAAAACAATACTACTTAGAATTCAGGGGCAAGGGAAACACATAATCAGCCTTCAAAGTGAGCCAAGTGCCCACCAGCCAGGCCTCTTGCTTTTTGTCTTTGGCTGGGCTGTCCATCTAGACCATGGTCAGTTCTTTTACAAAAACTGATTTCATACCATGATGACCTTTTACCAGCTAGGTAAACAGTCACTCGTTAATGTTCTGGCTCCCTGAATTAAAATAAGAATTAGAAACTCAGGGAAAATGCCAAACTCTGAATTCTACTGCTTCAACCTGTGGCCTGGAAATTAAGATGGAGGAGGCTGCACTGAGGCTGGCCCGTCTTGAAGAAAGTCAGCAACATAGATTTGTTCTTGCTGTCCCAACATACACAACACACATAAACTAGTGACCCCAGAACCCTGCACCTATAGTGTGCACAGGAGTGAATCGGCAGTACACAAAGAGCCAGCGACTCATATCCTAAAAAAAGATCTACAAAAAAAAAAAAAAAAACTTTTTCCCAAAGTAAATACAAAATTATGACCCTGTATTTTTAGGATTCACCCTTTCCTCCCAGAAATTCTAAGTTCCAAAAAGAGAATGAAAATAATGGAACTTAAAACATGCTCTTCCTTCGTCTACAGACTGTCTAAGCAATTGAAGATCCAAAAGAAAACAATGTCATCGACTGCAAAATAACCACTTGAAATCGTGTCCCTGGGCTCCACTTCTCATCCTCAGTGGCAGCGCACTCATTGATTATCAAACCATGCGGAACAGAGAGGACTCAGGCTCCCCAGGAACGCAGGTTCCAAGCCACCCTCTGCTTTAGGGGACAGGTTCATTCCCAACACCCAGGAGGGGCAAAGCAAGCGACTCCTTCACAGCCTGGAACTATGAGACGCTGTTCAAGTCCTCTGTGTGACCCAATGACACTGTGAGGAACCCGTGTCCCTACACCACCACCTCTGTGCAGGATGTGAAGGCCGAGGCCCAGCCTGAACTGCAGTGACCCTGTCCAACCTCAATCCACATCACATCCCCAAGGGGTCTCACTAGTCAGGTGCACCATTACTCAAAACATGTGCCGTGGTCAATTTCTAACTCAGAATGGCAGAGAAGACATTTGCCACACTCAATGTCCCAGGAGAGCTGGGGTTGCTGCCTTCCTCAAGCTAACCCTGAAGAAAGCTTTCTCTTTTCTGTTGCCCTGGGGATTTCAGGTGCAATGATGGCTTTGTCCTGAGCTGCCAGATAACACACCAGGGCCTTTCAAGGGCAGCACTCCCATCTGAGAGAGGCACTAGGAGCTAGAGACCAGTGCAAGAGGATGAGGCCCACCAACCCTGGTCATTGCAGCCTCACAGCCGCAGGGTCCCAGCCAGGGTTCAGTCAGAGCTACAGGAGGAGGTGCTGTCACAGCCAACACCACCTGACAGGCTTCTGTCCTCAAGGTGGGAATCAAGGGTGATGTCAGATGCATGAACATCCAGGGGGGGGGGGATATATAAAATAATATCATGCATTCCAACATTTATTGATGTGACTGTTTCACACATCCCTGGAATCCTCTCCTGGTAATTCATCTTTCAAATCGGTTCACCTTTAAAATCGGAGCAAGCAGGAAGTTTCTTGTGGAGTATGCATAATACAATAGGTCCATCACCAAGACACTCAGCCAAATGGATTTGAATAGAGTAACATGCACACTGGCAGAGCTTTCCAATACCAACCTAATGTTATCTTCTAAGGCACAGTGTCAAGGAGTGAGAGGAAAGATGATGGGACAGATGGTCCAGGATGGATGAAAACAAACTGAGAATCTGCGCTCAACATCTAAAATCCCAGACCTCAAAACCATTAAACGCACATGGCTAATCGTCTTTCCTCTTCATTTTCCACTATACTCAGCTGTTCGTTAGGCATACGCATCTACATTATTTCCAAAAAAGTTAACTATAACCCTGCAGAATGTGTCAGAGATCAGACTAAGGGAATTTTTCTTCTTTTCCCCAATCTCACCAACTAAGTCATGAAGATGGTAATCCAGCAGAACATCATGTGAGAACAGAAAAGAAATGAGATATAAATTCTGAAAGGGGGAAGAGGAAATAGCAAGACATGTACCAGGTGTGACACCAACAGGGTTTTGAAACATCCATTTAAAACCATTCTTACTGCCACTGACCTTGAAACCACAAACTCTCGTGAAACTACCAGCTCTGACTTCCTTATCTCTTAAAGTTCCATAAAAATAATTGCTGGCAAGTTCAAAGAAACGTCCACAGCTACCAATTTGTTTAAACTCCAATGTATTAAAAATGTACACACTGTAATTTGTACTTTCTTGACAAAGATATATTTTAAACACATGACATTTCATTGTCAAGTTTTTAGAAACATCTTTCTCTAAAGACACCAAAACCATGTCCGTTACACTCATCACTGATGAGATGATGGGAAGAAACATGTACGACCAGGGTTATGACAGCTGGCGACTCTAGGGTCGACTCTTGGTCAGAAACACGTTTTATTCAGTCCACCACCCTTTGTTTATTCAATTTTAATTATAGCTGGACAATACTGCACTCTGAGACCTCTGGGAAAATCGAGAGATTGTGTCGGGGGGCCCCACACTTGTTCCCGTGTGGCCAAAACGGGAGCCTGCGCTGGTAGGTCCTGCTGTGGTTAACATACGGATACTTTCAGCCTTGGGTACTAACCTTTTCCTCGACGGCCCTTCTTCAAAATCTGAAGAACTAACATCGTTGCTAGTCGAGGACACCTGGGATGCATCGTCCTTCTCATTCTCTGACTGTTCTGACGCTGGTCCTAATCCCTTAGTCTGGTCATTACCAAGGAGCCCTACAGGTGAGAAAAGGGACAAACACTTAGATACATCACATCAGGAAGCAGCACTTTACCACAGTTCACCCTGTGCAGGCTGGTAAGGAAGGACAGACACCACGGGGGCAGAAGGGGGTTCCCAAGTACACATCCCTTTTGAAGGGTCAGAGTTTAAAAAAAAAAGAAAGAAAGAAAAAGAAAAATCACCCTACTTCAGACCTCTCAATGTTGAAAGGCCGAACAGGGAAGTGATTTCAACATGAAGAAATCTCAACAGAAATTTGAGATCAAATAACAGATGCATTAAAAAACAAACCCTAAAGTATAGGTTTGCATGTTTTGTGGCTAGAGGGTAGAAAAAAGAAAGGAGCATCACTTATTATCCAATTAAACTGGTTTATTTATTTTGAGGTGCTAAAGGTTCAGAAATACTGACATCCTAACACTACCTTCGCTCTGTGACCATTAGTTCAGTCTCAAAAGGACAAGGATTCTTGATATACTGTACCACGTGAAACTGGGAGTCTTGATACCCACATGTGCTTCTATGGACAAAAAAAAAAAAAAAAAAAAGAAGAAAGGGCCTAGGGAGGAACACTCTAGAAGCAGCTATTCAATAAGGGATATGATCTATTTTAACAAGCAGGAAGTCCATACTAGTGGTTACCAGCTGAAGGAAAGACTCGTTTTGCTAACATTTGGATTCCTTTTTGACTGTGGATGCAGTGTAGATTCTATCAACGAGAAGCTTCTACTACAGCAGTGTCCCACAGCAACTGCCCAGCAATCAGTTTGATGGACATGAGGAGCTGGACGGCAGCAGCAATGCCCACCAACAGTTTCGCCAACCAAGCGTACCAGGTAGCTCCCTGATTTGACCCTCCCAGCCCCTCCACCAACTGTATGAACATCTCAATCCCTGTATTAAATCTCTTGGATTCAATCCCCTTTAGAGTGATTACTGTTAAGCAATCTTTTACACTATGTATAGTTATACTGTTACCTTCTGAAAGAAGATAGTACACACTGTGACAAAGCCCTGGCACAGGGACTTTCCCAGTTGCCTTGACATCATCTTCAAGGCATGAGTAATAATGTAAGGTTGGAAATATAGCACAAGGTAGTAAATAAGCTCATTAAAGGCCAGGACTACCATCAGGATGGAAATGAACACAAAACTTCCCAAATAAAGAGGAAATGCAGGGAGTCTGCACTGTGAGCCCGCCCCCCCCCAATAAAAAAAAAAGATGCACAGGGCATAGAAATCTGAGGATCAAAGGACAGACACAGGCTGCATTTCAGAGGTGAGTATCCATGTCTCACTGGGAGACTTGCAACAAAGCTAATGTGACTAGGGTAACAGAGTTTAAATTTTGCTTAACTTGAATGAAAAAACTGAAGGAAGCATTTCATTAATTTTCTATCAATTGTAGAAACATTTCGGACATATGCAATTCTGTCAAATACATCAAAATTAATTTTACCTTCTTGTTTCAATTTCTTTGAATTTGGCTCTGGAAAACTAAAATTACAAAAGTGGTTAAAATAACCTCTCTGCGCTCAGCAGGACACCAGAACCAATGCTGAGGCAGAGGAGGCACGTGACAGGGGGAGCGCAGTCTACAGGCACTGAGAACAGACCAAGGGACATAATGCACGACCCCCAAACACGTTGGGGGGAGGGGGTGTGCACCTTCCACACAAGCGGATTCTTCCCTGCACTTTTGAGATTTCCAGAGTGTGTATGACCATAAAGGTGAATACAGCAGGGAAGGTGCACGGTGTGGGGAGGCGGGGTGAAATTCCTCGTCTTATTAGCACCCTCTGTGCTGCCAGGGCACCAGGCACACGGGCGTGACAAGATCCAATTCCAGCCAGAGAGAAACAGAGCACAGGCTGCCGGTGCGCTAGGTGGCACATTAGTACTACATGCAAGAAGAAATGTTGGCCGTACCCCACAAGAAGCCAGGGACGGGCAGGCTAGTGGGTGAGCCAGCACAGCCAGCCAGCCAGCCCCACGGGACAAGAACGCCAGGTTGGGATTTGCTTGAACTCAAGAACATGGTGGAAAGGGGGAAAGCTGGAGGATCAGGAGGGGGCTCTTGTTACCCTGTATCTAGATCATGAGAAACTAAGGAAGGACAGGTGGAGGAAGGCTCCCGAGCCTGGGCGTGTAAGGGGTACTTCATAGATGAGTGCATCGGCCCGACTGATTCCGCGCTCATGCCATCACCTCAGCAGGCAGGCAAAGAGCACAGGCTTCTCTGACTGGACCATATATCAGAGTCACCTGGACGGCCCACCTCGTCATGCCCCGAGAACCTCGGTGACGGCAGAGTCCACCTCAGTCAGAAAGCAGCTGGGGCCCTCGGGCCACTGCGTACCTGCAGGCAAGCATGACCCTGCACTGCATCACAGCACGCTCTGGGGGCGTCCTCGACACAGCCCAGTGGGCAGCACCCAGCCTTTGAGAGGCTTGCTGACAAATCGTGCCAAGGTACTAGAAGGCAGGTGATAGGAAGATGGATTCAAGAAAAAGGGGTGGGGAAAACATCCTCCTCTAAAAAGCCCAAGTGTCACAAAGACTTATAATGCACCCCCACCCCAATATCAACGCTCCAGGCACAAATTCAGGAAAACTACATCAAGAAATTTCACGTAGAAAAAAAAAAAAAAAAAAACCCCGGGAATTGTGGCTGACTTCATTGTGAGCATCATGTGAGGTGAAAGGGACGAGGTGGCTCTGAGCTGAAGGCATGATTGAGCCGCATTAAACAGAAAGAAAAGTAATGGCTCCATTGTCCCCTGCCCTTAGACCAGTGTCTCAGAGCTCGCCAGGCCTTCCCCCTTTCCAAGGGCAAACAATGAGTGAACATCCAGACCAGAAGAGACACACATGGGCTGTTGTCTGCATCAGACTCACTCTTCAGATTCAAAAAATGGGGCCCAGACACAGGGAATTAATTGTCTGCTATGCAAATCAAAGGACCATAGCTTTGTCCAGCAGGACTGACTCCATTCCAACAGATCAACTTTTTTGATCTGTGCACTCCCATTCTGTAGACAAGGCCGCAGAACAAATTCACATGTATTTTTAGCAAGACTGTCTACAGGGTGGACCCACCAGAGCTCTCCCACCCCAAAACTCACTCCTCCCCTTTCTCACAGTTCTCACTTCATTCTGAATGTTTTAAACCAAACTGCACAGCCAGCCCCACGAGGAGAGACAGGTCAGCAGGCTGCAGCAGGCTGCCCCAGGGCAGAACAGCCCCGTGACAGCACAGAGCTGGCACACGCCACCGCCTCTTTCCAACGCAGCCCTGCCACCAATCTTTACTAATTATTTTTAGTCAACAAGAAATAATGAAGACGGACCCTCTCCCTCATGCATTCACACTGTCTTATTTTTCAGAAAGCCCTTCTGCAGCCAACACAAACCTCCATCAGGGAAAGGAGGTTAAACAGAGGAAACTGGGGGCCCCAAGACCCGGCCTCCTCACATTAGCATTTGTTCGCCTCTATTAATATTCAGTAGGTTGAACTTAAATTAAACCATGTCTATTGTCTTTCACAAAAGCTATAAATATGAGCTGAAAATTTCAAACTGCTGTGGTAAAGACAGCTTGGGGACTGTGCCTGCAACCCCTGCTAGACACCATCAGCAGACAGGAGCACCGTGTAATGGCTCAGTCTCCACTTGGCCACCACATCACGGCACGTGGACAAACCCCCAGGAAAACAAACTCGACAGAAGCTGGTCACCAAGGGCTCTATGGATGCAGGGGCCATTCGCACAGTCTCCCAGATCAGCACAAATGAAAAGGCTTCCGAGGTGCAGGAGCACACGTGACCCAACAAGCTTCTAGTGGAGTCCAGAGCAGCAAAAAGGGCTGCAGGCTGGTGTGCACGGCTCCCTGACATGAACCAGGTGGGAAGCAGGTGAGAACTGGGCCAGAGGGAGTCTGCTAAGGAACCTGCAAAGCAGTCGGTGAGAACCCTAGATTCAGAACCCCAACATGCAGACAGAAGGAACTCCTTGAGGGGGAGGGGGATGCAGTCCTTATAACTTTATAATGTTTTAGATAAATCAGGGTCATCGGTCTCCCCCAACAGTTTCCCATTCGAGAGAACACAAAACCAAAGGGAAAGCCAATGCTTCTCCTCCACCAACAGGAACAATGAAAGAAGGGTTAAAGAGAAAGGGAAACAGGGAGGGCTTTGAAGCTGTCCCAGTGCCCCTCAAACATCTGGAGCACACCACACTTATTAGCATAATAGGCAGAGTCCATGCATTTGGCTTTGTTGTAGAAGACTTGCACAAAAGGTGATTTGGTGTTACAGAGCCAGTGCCGTCTGTCACCCTGTCACTGTGAGACAAGGTATCACATTACATATTAAACAGACAAGCATCCAAAGAGCTTTCATTTTCAGCAGCAATTTCTCAGTGGCGCGTGTGTGCGCGCGCGTACGTGCACGCGTGTGCGTGTATGCGCATGCGACACTTCAGAGTTGGAAAGAAAATCATAAGAAAAAGCCGCCTCTGGGTTGGTGTAGGACCCTCCGTGTGGCGACCAGAGCACACGGTTTGCCGCCATTACTAGAGAAAAATAAAGCCCACGTTCAGACTTTCAAAGAGAAATAGAATTGTCTGCAGACAGTGCAGGCACGCTGATGCAGGGCCCACTTCACGGGGTCACCGTGAATGTAGATATTAACCCCAACTGTTCACATGCAGGTCACAGAGGTGCCCCCCCACCCCCCAAGCCCAGAGCTCAGCCACCTCCAGCTCCCCAGAATCAGCACACCAGACATCAAAATGAGGAGGAGGAGACAGGACGTCAGTGGCACACTTATGGTCAACAAGGCACAAGTGAAAATGGCTGCATGCCTCAGATTACAGAAAATAATGATGCTCTTCTCTTCCAAGAGCAGCCGCTCAGGCCCATGGGGCTCCCCTTTGTCTATTTCAAATCAGCTATGGAGACTCCCATTCCAGTCAAGGGAATGCCACCAGAACC